AGGAGCTAGACTTAATGGAGTAGAGGCTAACAAGTAAATAATTTAAGACAGGTGTAGTAAAGGCAATGACTTAGATGAAAAATGCGTCTTAAAGAATAAGGAATGGAGACCTCAAACTTTGGCAAAGAGAGACACAAGTATTCACTGAAACAAGTACAGCCTAATTATGATCCATCTAAAAGGGAAGACGCATTAACATTGGAATTTTCCTCAGTACTACACACAGAATTGGTTTCTTGTGTCAAGTATAACCAAATTCAGAGGCTGCACTTCTGTACTGAAAAACAGCAGTGAAAGACACTGAGGACTGCTTAATAAGCATTTCCTACCGAAGTTCTCAGATGATCTCTCACCATGAGTAATTAACCATAGAAAGAACAAAAAAAAATCTAGTTTGGAGGCAGCTCTCTACGCCCCTTGAACCACAAGTCTTTGCAATGACCACAGCCAGGGCAGAGCATTAAGCAAGGTGTTTTTCAGAGTCTCTGTAGGAGACTACACAGAGAAAGTTGCAGTGACAGAAAACAAACCAAACACACCAGAACTACTGCAACTCACTGAGCCACTAGAATATCTAGGGAGACTAAGATAAAAGACATGAAAAAAGAGCAAGGGTGTAAGTATCTGAGCCAAAAGGGAGTTATTAGAAATCCATGAACGGAAAAGGAACGAGGAAAAGCTAACATACTGAGTATCAACAAACACACAGCGTCAAAATGCACGCAGTTCTTTTTCCACAGACTTTCAAGAGTCTGTAAAATTAGGAAAGAGTCAATCTGAAAAGAAAGGGGGGGACAAAAGCAGCCTGTAGAGACAGATTTCTTGTCCTCAGGGAGAAACACACCCTACCAAGAGGGGTGTGTCTGTTACACAACATGCATACTCACATATGAAGACCAAATTTTCAAGAGAAAAATACGATAAAGATACCTGTTTATCAAGAGACTATGACAAGTGATAACATCTCTAATAAATTACTCTAAGCCTCAATCCTCTCAGTTGACCTGGACACGTAAGTGCAGGGAACTTCATAACAGAAAGTAACTTCTTGCCAGCTGAGCAATTCCAGATGTGGATTCCACTCACAGAAGAAAACACATCAATATATCTGCACAGCCCTTTAAGTAAGGGAAGTTAAGACTGGTGTGGGTGCTGCTGCAGACTGGGACTGATCTCAGCTCTACCATAAATCCGAGATTCAGCCGGGTGACTCATTTCAGCCAGATGATTTCTAGCAACATAAGCTGCGCTCTTCCCATGGCACAGTACACTGCTCCCTGAGGAAGCCAGGAGAACCTACGAGAGTATTTTAACGGAAGTTTGACAGCTTCTACAGTCAGTTATTACCTGAAAGACCCTGGGTGAACACAGTTCACCTTCATAAATAAACCAGCTATCAGAACAAGAGCTGAAGTGCAGCCCACTCACCATTAACGTTGGCACAATCCTTTCGCAGGAACTCCAGCGCATGTGGGTGGTCATGCTCCACAGCCTGAGACACATCGATGATGTACGCATCCCCACTGTGGTATCTGCAAACACACACAGAGCTGCACCAACTCCACCACACAGGAGATTACTGAGGGGCAGGGAACAAAGTGTGCTTCCAACTTAAGAACCAGCAAACAACCTTAACATGTGTCTCTAACACACACCTCACATATTAGGGCCAGAGTGAATTTTTTGGGTCAATACTTTCCCTCCTTTTAGAAAAGGAAACCTCTTCTCATGAACACAAAAAGCAGTGTTATGGGTGGGTGAGAAAAAGAAAAGAGAATGATACTGTACTAATTTTTTCTCTAGTTGAGTTTTTGTGAGGGGTTTTTGTTTGGGGTTTTTTGTGGGGTTTTTTTCTTTGTTAGTTTGTTTTGGTTTTTTTTTTTAAACAGAGAAAGCTCAGATCTGGGTTAAAAGCTAAGTAACTAATTACATAAGTTACAAGGCCCAGTCACAAAAAGGACCCCACCCTCCCTTAAAGGCAGGTTAGTACTCTCAGTTGAATACATTTTAGATGTCACAATTCAGAGCAAGGTTTAGAAACCTACAGCATATTAAATTCACTGAGATCTGCGTGAACAAGTCTGGCATCTTGGTACATTCTTCTCATGTACTGGATGATTTGCAGGTACAGCTCCCGGACTTTGGAGTCAGATAACTGAGCATTCTTCAGCAGAGGAGCAGGCCTTGAAATTACAACACAAATAACAGAAACTAAGTACTTATTCATTCTTCATACCAGTTGCAAAAGCTTTAACTGCTGTAACTGATCCTTCCACTAAGTGCGTCAGGCCAGTCAGCAGGAGCAGCTAAGTGCATGAAGCCAGGATGTAGGGCAGCAGAGCTCGGTATATGCTTGCCAAAGATACTGGAGCTCTGTTTCCAAGCTAATTTGGACCATGCTATGTTAATGTTTGTAGTACAAAACGATGAGCTATCTTCATGTATGATTAGCAAGCCTTTCCAGCCTTGAACCTCTGGTTAAGCCACTTTATGAATTCATTTTGCACACAACTGAGGCTTCAGAATCATGCAGACTGTCGTAGCTGGCAAATGTCTGCGTATCCTACAGGTCACATGCACACATAAGAGTAACACGTTAATTTCACAGGCCTAAAGTCGAAGCAGGTAAATTCAGAGGGTTGCTTTGTTTGTTTTTAATGAACTTTGTGGAAAGGTACTAATAAAAAAAATAATTTTATTTTCTAAAGATACTTACCTATCACCTTTACCAATAAAGCCCATGACAAGCACATGACTTCTTAGCATAATTGGCTCTGGGCAAGGTATCTGGGCTGTATTCAACCTGTAACGCAGGAACAAAGCCACAAAAAAATAAAACCAAACTCGACTATTTGCATTGCACTAGTGCCTATAGGAGCTCTGTTGTTTTAAACATAATACATAATAAGAGATCCTCCACTCAGGAAACGCTTGCTTGTGAAGAACAACTAGGAAATGAATACAAAAAGCCACCACCATTCTGGCTCTGACCCTTCTCTAAGCACTCCTGTGTCAGACAAAGAATCTTTACACAGTTCAGGTTAATCCTAGATTAACCTATATCACACTGTGCTGTTACTCAGCAGCAGCTATTTCTAGCTTTTCCTCACTTTTCAGTCATGTCAGAGTTCAGACATTGAAGAGCTTAGAGCATGAGCAGCAAGACAAAATAATATCTTTATTCCTCCCTCCCCTTTGTTTTCTCTCCCACAAGGAAGCTTAAGACACTTTTCTGAATACAGCAGAGAAAAGGTAGTGATAGCCACAGTCTAGCAACAGGAAAGTACCTCCTATAAAGTTTCAGTTACCTTTGCATGCTGAAATAAAAACTGGAAGAATCACCTTATTAAATTCCTCATTTCTTTTTCAGCCCACGTCTTCACCATTTTTCTTGGGTTGCCTTTGCAATATCCGTGACGAAATCTTTAAATAAAGAAATGAAAGACAACAGGGGCTCTTAGCCAATCAATATAGTATTAGCACCGGTGATTTTACCACCTTTTGAACCACACCTCTTTTCCAGTAAAACCAGGCAGAAGTCAAACTCACCTGAATTCACCACTCACATACTTATCCCGATCTTTAAACATCAGAATAGAGGTTTTGTAAATTTTTATTGCTCTGTTCTCTCCATTTGCAGTACTGGCATGATACACATTAGCCTATCAGATTATAAAGGGAAGAAATAACATTAAAGAAAAACTCTTTAAACTGACATAGCCATCTCTCTTCTTCTGGTGCTCTGAAAAGATCTGATCCCACCCCAGCCCCTACGTGGCACCCGGCTGAGTGAGACTGAACACAAGGGCAACCTCTTTTTCTATCAGAGGCAGCTTACAGGAAGTACCTAAGAGCGGGTACGGGTGTGACAATGTACATCGGACAAGAACAACAATGCACAAGAAAACTCTGCCTCATCCACATTTTGGAGACTGAAACAAGCCCTTGTGTGAAGGGTTCATTTGAGCCTGTGCACTGTTTAGGCCCTAAAGCACGGCCCAAATACCTCACGTTGACACCTCTGCACAGGGTGGAAGTATGCCTTTAATCCCCATCCAAGGACTTGGAAGAAAGCCAGGTTAGCCTAGGCATTCTAAAACTGATTTCTTAATTTACTCGGAAATTTGTGGTCTGGTTTTAATGACAGCACACAAACATGCTAGTTTTGTAAAAGGAATGAAGGTTTAGTAGTATTTCAAACAGAATTTTGTTACACCATTTAGGTACTGCCATCTCTGCTGACAAGTGGAGCTGGTCTGATCTGCATGCAAGTCTTGTATGAAGAAATAATTACCTCAGTTTGTATGTTTTTTCAGGCACTGTTTAATATTGTGTGTACACATACCCTTTCCAAAAATTTCAGTTGTAACACACAATTAACAAGGCTCACAAATTTAAGATAACATTTAAGTATTCTGAGAAATCTTTCATACTTGGGTAAACTTGTTTCCTTTAATATAAATTGCATTTTATCTTAAGATAACTTCCTACCAATTAAGCAACACAAAAAGTAGTACTAAACCCAAGTATTTCAATACACATTCTGAGCACCATAAGCTTCCACCTAGCTTGCTGAGAAAAAAGACTATTATGTTATTTGTAATAAAACTCACTTCCTTCCCTGTGCTGATGCAGCCATTGATTTCCGATATGACACCTCTGGTTAGCATCTTGAACAGAATCATTCGGGTCCTTGGATCCAACACCTCAAATTTAATACAGAAAAGTCAGCACAGTTGCTGTCCTTAAAGAGGACAAAACGTAATAGTACAGCCCAGTCTCAGTACCATACTAGAGGACCCACAGCATCAGACTATTCTTAAGGATCAAACGATAATCCGAACAGCAGCCACTCAGAATTCTGCAACGATTTAAAAATGATACTTCACTTTTAAGTTCAACGTGATTACTTTTTTTTTAAGCTAAGTATATGTCCTTGAGCTAGCTCTCGAAGAGACATAAGAGTGACTTCCCATCCAGAGCTGCATTAAATGTGTTACAATAATGTTTCTCCTGAGATACAACTATTGCAACTGAAATAGAGCAGCTATATAGCCTTGGGCCAGTACAGTTCAGTCTTGCCAAAGAAGGAAAAAAAGAAAACAGCAAAGCTAGCAGGTTTTTATTGTTTTTGGAATTTAGTAAAAGCTTAAGATGGAATTCTGCATTGCATATATGATCAAATCACAATGCTAACAACAAAAACAAGCTCCAAAATGTTTATGGAAGCAAGGACAACCTTCATACAAGAAGAAACAAAGGAACAACAGGTCTTTTCAGGATAACAAGGGAAACAGAATTCCAAGGCAGAACTCTGTTCCTACAGTATCTGTTTTATCATTGTTTCCAAAATTCCACATTGCTTGTTCCAGTCAAAAGCAAAATTTGATGAATTAAGAACTTACCTGTTCTACTGTGGCCCTGTCTGACTTGTCTTTGACTCGGTACCTAGAAGAAGTGAAAATTAAATTATATAATCCCATATATGGACTCAGTACTCTGACAGAGTAAAACATGACATTCTGTATCAAAGATAAGATGACAGCCTCAAGAAGTAAGGCTTTCAGTTCACACAAAAGCAAAGGTTTCTCCTGCAGGCAAGCAAAACAAACAAAACCATAAACATCAGTGCCCTTCACTTTTACAGATATCTTCTTGCCTCCGCTGAGTTATGCTCATTCAGGAGAAAACAGTATCTGTCTTAACTTAAGGCTATAAGGTGCAGGATTAAAAAAAAAAATTTTTCAAGTACCTTGCCTTTCTCTCACCACATCATCACAAGGAACCTTCAAAAGGCTCCAAATACCTTTTTAGCCGAACTGCTTAAGGACTTCTGTTTAGAAAAAAGAGTATCAGAGACAAAACAGTCTTTTCTAGTGGAATGACACCCATTACTTCTGTCTCACTACACCAACACAATCAGATGTGCCACCAGCAGCAGGGAAAGAAGAATCAAAACTTTGGAATGATTTAGGCAGCTGATCTGGAAACCAAAAAGTTTAAGACCAAAAGGCAAACTCCATGCAGACTACTTACAGATTTTTTTTTTCTTAAAAAATTTATTCAAAACTCAGGATCACACTAGGAAATAAAAACTACCCTTCTGGGTTCAAATTATCTAAATGAAAACAGAACCACGAGTAATACTTACATGTCTGCTTCCTTCTGTCTAGACTTTTCTGTGACTCTGTTTATAACAGAGTCATCAAAATTTAGCTTATCTGAAAAACACATAAGAAGAAATGAAAAAAACCCCTCAAAACTCAAAGAAGTTTTCTATGTCCGGAATTGCCCCTGCAATTCTGCTGCCAGCCGATACGCCACAACACACTGTTAAAGCAGAGGCAGAGCTGGAGCTCTCTGTAACAAGCGCAGCAGCTTAGCTCCCTACTAGAGCTAACCCAGCTCTCCATTCTGGATACATTTCAAAGTAGGACTATAAGGTAACAACACTGTTACCAGCTGAGTGAGACAGTCCCATAGACTTGGAGATGCAATGCCATCCAGAACTAATGCCTTTTGAATAATACCTCACCATTAAATTTGTCTGCCCTTCTCTTAGCACAACCGAATGACATTTTTCTGAACAGAATAAGCAACAGCCTCCAGGATTCTCTCCCCATGATGTATTTAAAATGGTGTTTGATTAATTGCTTAATGTATAAATGCTGCTGTATTTGGCTACATATACCAGCACCGTTCTTCTGAATCTTCATTTTAGAACCACTTTGTTATAAAGGAAAACACAACCTCTGTTTACTACCCTGTCAAAAGGCCCAAATCATAGCTACATCTAGCCCTAACAGGCTGAGCTGAGCAGCCATTAAACATCAAACTATGCCAGCTAGGACAGCAGCCTCTTCGCTTACCACAGAAACTCTACCCCCGTGAGATAACTGTTGCATAACGTACCACCCTAATACTACAGGGGACTGCCATCATCTAGAAAATTTAGCTGTGGCAGCAGCTTTGAGAATGACCAACATCATCCAACAGAGTTGATACCCTCCCTCCAGCCAAACAGCTTGCTCCTACAGAGAAGCCAGGGAAGAAATACTTTGAGGACTGGAAAAGTCAAGGGGAAGAAAAAAAAACAAAAAAAAAACAAAAAAAAACCAAACCCCAAACGCAAAACAACAAAACAGCCTTGTGGCACTGAAGGGGGGGAGAAAGGGGTACAACAGCTGGTTAATGAAGACTAAAGGCAACTTCAAGCACACAAAAGCCATTTTTTAATCTGCCTGGCAATGGTCAACTCACTCATTCCAGTGAGTTCTGGCTTGAAGTAAGCAGAATTAGTCTGAGAATATCACAGAGTAGTATCTGTTTTCATAAAAGAAGACAATGTAATTATACTCACCTAAATTAATTTTATGTTCAAATTTCCTTAAAGCCTTGTCTGTAGGGGTAGACATTTTTGCTGAATAGCAACTATGGGTCTGTCTATTAGCCTGAAACAAAGGATTTATTAATACAAGTTCTTTTCTCTAAATAGCCCTTTGAAATACAGACAGTATCATTCAAAAAGTCAGCTCAAACACCTATGCCTAGAGCTACAAAAATAAAATCAGAAAGGGCGAGAAAATGGACATAGATTAACATTAGATTTTACATAATTCAAGAAAGGAAAGTAGAGATGACAAATCAGTTACAATTCCAAAAAGTGCCCCAATTCAAGGTTATTTTTAGTCTGTGAATTGAGCTGCCAGTCTCTCATATCAACAGTTTTTCTATTGTTAAAAGGAAAGGAAATAGCAGACAGAAACAAGGAGAAAAATGAGGAAAAAAAAAAAAAAGAGAAGGTAATTAACAGAGAAAACTTTCCAAAACGCTATCTTTTCTTACAGGTAGCCTTTTCCAAACACAATGAATATCTGAACATGATTTCACCAACACTGGGCAGCATAAGCCTCTAATTAAAGGCAAGAATAAATCACCCAGGCCAAGTGCTGTGAGTCAGACATAATATGCCATGATCAGCACCATTCTAATTTATCTCAACTATTCTACCACGTTGGTATAAATAAGAAAAAAGATGTTTTGAACCTCCAGTGTCCAAGTTGAGGGTAAGAGGATGCTAGTTCTTATATCACGTGTGCTTTTCATTCTGCACAATGCCAGAGTTTCTAAGTCAACAGCATACACTCTAAATTAATCCACTTCTGGCACCTCCCTCCATTTCCTATGCTTTCTTTTGCCTCCTTTACTGTTAGTCCAAAACATAACCTGTTCCACCCTGGGTGTGACAAGCAGGTATAGTCTTAAAATTAAATAGAAAGTATGGGGAAGATGCTCAAAAACACAGAGGACAAATACCAAAAAGTGAGCAACATCAGTAGAGATCAGGATGCGCAAACAAAAACGTTACAGAAAAAGGCAAGGAACAGAAGGAAAACTACACAAAGAGAATCCAGCAATAGAGTTTGAGACAAAGAAATCAAGTGGAGCTCTGGCTACGAGACACATACACACATGGCATGGCAGAGGAACAGATCAAAGGAAGGGGATTTTCTCAAGGAAAAATTTTCATTTGCATTTGTGCTCAACATAATACTAACAGAGAACAAAGCCTGCAAGTTAGCCCCATTTGCTCTTGGGCACCCCTGACGTTCACAAAATAGCCTTCAACATACCTGTGGGTTGCATCCGCCAGCAGCGTTGTGGCGCTTCATGAGTCTCCCCAGCTCATCATCCCAGTCCCAGTCTTCATCCTCCTCTTCATCATCATTGTCATCATCACCATCTCTTTCCACAGTGTTAACTTCTTTGCGCATGCATGACTGGCAGTTCTCAGTGACCTCACCTTCTTCGGCTGTTTCTGTGTCTTGCGTAAACTCACTTCAAACAAATACAAATATATATATATTTGCATATAACTACAAAGGATTGTTACAGCCATCGATAATTCAATACATTTATCCCAGCAAATGATTTCACAAGGTTAGCTCTCAATGAGACGCTTCTCACTTCACCTTTCTTGAAGTAAGCATACATGAGGATGTCCCTGCCTTTAAAGGGTCGACTACATTTATCTTCTTCACCACATCAGTGCTGCCTTCTAACTTGTTCTGCAGTTACACCTATTTGGATCCCTTTGACTCCAATCAGATTGGGCCAGCTGGCTCCTTCACCAGAGATAAACCACTCTGCTTGCTGCCACAGCAGATTTCCCTCCGACAAGGTATCACACCAAACCTCACCAGGTGCAGACAGCCAACCTGCTGGTAACTCAGAGCACCAGCACAACCTCTGTGAAAAAAGTTAGACCTAAGGAATTATTTGTGGGAGAAATTAACTCCTTTGACTTACTTATATCTTAACGTCCATAGTTCGCAGCACTTTTCTGCCAGAACAAGTATGTCCCAAAGCAGATTCTCTGCTGGCATTTGACATTTAATTAAATGAAGGGTAAACGGGAAATAAAATGGCTTGAACCCATAACACAAGACAGTTCCTTATTCGCCCCACACTAAGTATAAAAAGCGCTAGGCTTTAGTCCAAGGGAAAACGTGCTTTAATTCCAAACGAATCAAAGTGATTTGCTGCCCTCAGCAACTCACTGGTCTCTCGTAAGGTTTCACACAGTCAGTTACAATCAACACCACGGTGAAATAGCCTCTACCCCGCGCCTGCAGGCGGGCCTGCCCGTTTTAGTGGTGCAGCAGGTATCACAAGAATTACAAAGCCGAGAGCGCGCACGCAGCCTTTCCTCACACGTACCGTCCTAACTCGGGCAGCACACCCGCCCCCCGCGCCGGGCCTCCTTCCCCGCTGCCGGGCGGCCTGCAGGCCCGCGCCCC